GCACTCGACACGCACGATCTCCGCAGAGGGTTGCGCGGGCACCCGGCGAATCGCACTCTCGCCTGCATTTCGCGCACTCGACACGCACGATCTCCGCAGAGGGTTGCGCGCGGACCGGACAAATCGCACTCTCGCCTGCATTTCGCGCACTCGACACGCACGATCTCCGCAGAGGGTTGCACTTTCGGTTGATGCTGTTTGTCCCGCACTCCGCCTTTAAGAGAGAATTTATAAAGTGGGAAAATGTTTTTTCATTAGGACATCTCCCGTGCTAGTTTTCCATACTCACACTTGCCTACTCATTGCATGCTTGCATAGTCATTGCATGCTTGCATACTCACCCTTGCATATCATGCTTGCATACTTACACTTGCATACTTTGACACTGGCATACTTCGCACTTGGATGCTTTCGCTCTTCCAGTGTGTGTGTGTGTGTAAGTGTGAGTGTCGAAGTGTAAGTGTCGAAGTGTCAGTGTTCAAAGGATTTTCCGGAAGAACCCTTCGCAATGCTTTCGGGAAAAATGCTCCAAGTGCAAAAAAAACAGGAACAACCACGACCTCGAACAAAACCAGAACACCTATCGTCTGGAGTGTGTCACAAAGAAATCCGAACTCCTCGTATTCAATCGTTCCTCACTCTAAGTCGAAGTCTGCTGAGCCAATCGGCTGGGTGAGGACGTCAAGCGCATGATGCTGAAAGATGTTCAAAGGCACTCGTCCAATGCAAGCCATACAAACACGCCAAGTCATACAATGACCTTCGTCCGACGGTTGTGCGGCATGGCAAAGAGTGAACATTCCAACAAGCATCAGGTCAATGTTCATCATGGTATTCACAGTGGCACCCTCGAGCACTTTTCGCATCAAAAGCTCTCGTTGACCTCACAATAGCCCAAGTCTATCCAACTTGCAAAATGCTTCCATGCTATAGATGAGTGCATTTCATCGCATTTCATCACATTTGCATAGTTTCAACATTTGTGTTTTACTTTTTGCATGAAATCAGACTTTGAAGCTCCACATTGACCTGGAGTCTATGTGAGTCCGCAGTCCACCAACTCCCCCGCTGTCTGCCTCAAGCTTCGTTGGGTGGTCATCGTCGGGCGCCACAAGGAGATCCGGGACATGCGAGGCCACGGCCTGCGACGTGGGCATTTCACGACGTGTTCTTCCTTTGGATGAAATATGGGATGACCATTGACGACTATAGCCAGGAGCCCCTAGTAGCATCCTTGCTCCTAGTAGCGATGCCAGGAGCCCCTAGTAGCTTCTTGCTCCTAGTAGTATGGCCAGGAGCCCCTAGTAATAGTGATTACTTGGATCAGCAATTCACTGAAACTCTTGGAGTGAAGTTTTGGTACGTTCCAAAGGTCACAGTCATGGCCAATCCTGGTGGTCCGGCGTCATGGCACCGCTCGAAAAGAGATCCTTCTTCCGAGCCAATGCCACATCCTTCCACCCCAATGACTGATGAAGATTTGGATGTTGCCAGTTGCCGGAGTGTATCTGGTCAAAATTTGCTGTTCCCAAAATAGTACAGTAGGTATATTAATGTATTTGTGTCTCTTTCTGTGTTCCCAGATCGGGTGAGTCCAACTTGACCCCTTCGCAATCAACCCCTGTACAGCATGCCCCAGTGCGACTGCGAAAGCTAGTGACCACTGAATGGTGCAGGATTTCAGAGATTATATATAGTGCAATGAAGCTGCTACCCCAATTGGAATCCCATCATGACTCCATGCAAAGTGTTGTTGAGAATCGTTTCGGGGTTTAGAGCTAACAGTCATTTAAGGACCACAAGCTACAAGCTACTGCATGCAGCCATGCAATCAACTCAAATCTTTCCAGTCCTTGAAGCACTTCAGCAGGGCAATCTCCTTTGAGACGTCCTCCGAACGGACTCGTCTCGTCTCCAAGACGTCTCGGTCGCGACTCGAAACAGGTCTCCTCCGATGCCACATCACGGGCCTCACATGAGTCCGGCTGCATGGGCTGTCGACAGGAGACATCCGACATCCTTTTTGTTTGAGCTCTGTGCCACTCCAACTGCCAGTGCCTGCGCTGACTCCAACTCCTGAAGAAAGCAACGGCTGTGTGCGACGGCTGTAAGTCGCATGATGGCAGTGGCATCTGATCCGTAAGAATGGTTTCAGTTTCGGTTTGTGCCATCTACATCCATCTACTCTGAAACCACTGTATGTCCCAAGTTGTCCGAAATTGATCATGCGTGGCACGTCACTGAACACTGGAAGGTGAGTTCCACTGCGCTAGATCACCTGAATCTGCATTGTATCGGTGAATAAAGGGTCCCTTTCATCGTCGCTTCATGCCTTCCGCTTAAATTCAGCAAGTATGAAGATAGGCTCCAGAAGGGTTATATGTTGAAGGGGGAAACCCCGTCTCACAGCTCTGCCGGCAACGCCTCTGTCAGACTCTTCAACTGCTGCTGAAGGTTTGATCTCTCATCCTGACGTGGAAACCTTCTGAAAACTGGCCCAGCTAAACTCATGAGCATGCAACATGTCTATATGTGTTTGCTTTAGGAAGATTAGGAAGTAAGTGGAGTTCACAATGGGAGGAGCAGGAGCGGTGAATTAATGGCTCTAGAAGCTGTGCAAAGAGCTGTGCAATCGACTCAAAATGCCGGTGGTGCTCGGAGTCTCGTCACCTCTGCCTGGTCAAGCTTCAAGCTTGGAGGAAGGGGTCAAATATGTTCGAAATCCAACCCCTTCCAATCCGTTTTTGTTCTTGTTTCCCATCAAGATCCCTCAAGAAATTGGGGTTGCTGGTTTTGACACTAACACTTGACCAAGAGCATTGCACCTCTTCAGGAAGCTCCTCAGCATCGTCGCCTGCCACCATTGATTTATCACTTTCCAGACTCTAATCCCCGCTAAAACTCCCTTGCCTAGAAGCAAAACAAGTTGCACTTTTACAAAAGTACAATCTCATGTTGAAACATCCAATGATCAAGATGAGAAGCTTTCTCGCTTTCTCGCCGAGACGCACTCGTCCTTCTCCGGTGAGACGATGCACGTGCTGCGCACGAAACGAAACGGTGCTCGTCACTCGTCACTCATCAGCATCATCTCCCTTGAAAAAGGGATGACGATGGAATTGAAGCGAACTGCCCAAGAAACAGATGTGTTTTTCCCTGAGCTTTGTGTGGTGCTTCCAGGCCTCCTTTTTGGTTGCCCTGACCTGACATGTTTCGAGAATGAATCTTGATTGATTGACCTGTGTTGTGTTGTCACCTGCCTGTTGCTGCTTCGAGTAGAGACCACCAGTGGCAACTTGGAAGGACGGTCCAAAAAGCGAGCGGCGAAGCGAAGCAGCGCGCGCTTCGCGTCACGTCGAGAGGAAGAAAACAGTTCTGGGCCACCCTGGGCCCCGTGGCAGTGGCAAGAATTGGGAGTTCGTGCAACGTCGCCCGCCTGGCAAAAGGTCAATGGATGTCCGCAACGTCGCCAAGTCCTACCGACCCACCCGTGCAGCCACGACGTGCCTTTGGAGGCCAATCGAAATCGGGCACCTCAGGTCTGGCATCCAGAGATCTCGGTGAAGTCTTGGGTGTTTGAGATTGAAGGAATGTATTTATTTACATTTCTCTCTCTCTCTCTACATATTTATATATATATATATCAGATAGATGAGATGCGAACAAGAATACCCAATGTTTAGCTCCTTTTCTGGGAAAAAATAGAGTAATATTTAGCCGCCAAGAATACTTCTCATCGGAGCTGTTGGAAAACCCTGTTGGAATCTGTCATGTCAAACGCCTTGTGGACAACTTCATAGAAGTCCAGATCATGCTTCAGAAAGATCCGGAAAAGCTCCTGGCAACTGGCAACAAGCTGTGAGCAAACAAGAAGATACAAAAAGCAAATGTGAGAAATAATAAAAAAAACAAAAATAAAGATAATAGTGTTTAGCTCGTCAAGCAGTCTTGAACGTGGCAATTCTCCAAGACTTCCAATGTGGCGACCCGGTCTTCTTTGCTTCTTCGCGCCTTTCGGGCCACCCGGTAGAGGAGCTTTCCAGGCCCCACTCCCTTCCGACGCGTGTCACCTAAGATGGCGAAGGCGATAAGAAGCAATCGACTGAAATAGAATCAAAGGAATAGAACAAAGCAATTCGTGGTAGTCGATGGTAGATATAACGTGATATAACATGATAGAACCAGTTTTATACCATCTTGATAAGAACTGGGTGTGTTGAAACCTGACTTCCTGTTGTTGAATTCCATATCACAGACCGGTGCCCAGTTGGAGGCCTCTTGTTGCAGACTCGTCACAAAGAAAAACGAATTCCCCAAAGTCCAGAGGCCGAGGCCTTGTGACCCATCTCCTGGGGAAAGACGGAAGGTACTAGTAGCTTCTAGCTACTAGTGCTAATGCCTTTGAAGATCTTTGAAGCCATTTTCTGATCAAACATTGGCGCCACACTTCCTGAACACCTCCCATGTTTTTTTTCCAAGGTATCCTAGCCCACAAGAAAGACACAGGAACGTCAAGTTTTCCTTCCGCTGGCGGTGGTTTGGTAGAGACACGCCAGGAACGATTCCAGCAAACACCCTGCAGGAAGGGATTAGACCTGTTTTGTCTCGTATCTGTGGACCATACTCTTCTCAAGGGCTTAATACCTGATGAGATACGTGAGATATCTTGGATTCTTGGAGAATCCTGCGGTTTAGCTGAAAGAAGAGTCCCGTGGCAAGCCTCTCATCGATCTACTAAGACATGGGTGGGCCTGTTCCGGATTGGACCCAGGAACGACTGCCACCCCCAAACCGCACCTGGCCTGTCCTTTGGAAGGTGGGCGGAAAACCACGTCTGGCTCCGGTACAAGTTTTACATGTCGCCGTCAGACAGAGGATGTTGGCCGGTCAAAACCCTTGCATCTTTCGTAGTGCAGGAATTAGCGCTGGAACTCCAGGCACTGAAAGACAGATTCTTAGCACTTTGTATTGGGTTTGAGATGGTTTGAGTCATGAGTGCCTCCTTTTCCAGACGCAAGGACACCCAGCATAATAATAGAAAAACACTTCAGGGCACAGGCACCTTCGGCGCACTCTCTGGTACTTTGTTTGGACCTGCTTTTTCGCCGTCGGGAGTCTCGACGCACTCGTTCGTTGACACCTGATCCTCGTTTGAGATCTGCTGGACCTGGTCGGAGTGTGACACGGTGGGGCCCATGATGGACAAGAGGACCGGCATGAAGATCAAGCCATGACTTCCTGTCAGGTGTTTCTGGCACAAAAAAAGAACCAAAATACCCAAACGGATCCAAAAGGGATGTTGTTTTCCCTGTTTGTGTGGAATCTGACAAAGATCTCGCAGTGAAAAGTCAGTGTTACAGCATTGAATTAATTCTGGATAGTACGGTAAGCTCATGTAAGATCTTGGTGTTCTCGACGCGTAGAAAGGAAGCTGTGCCTCCGGCCAAGACGATGCCAAAGAACATCTTGAAGAAGACACGAAATGCTTGGCTGGAAGAGAATGCCAATGGCAGGATAGCCAGGAACGTGGTACCTCACAAGGAACACTTGCAAGACTTAAAGAAAGTCACACTAAACAGGGAAGGACCAAATCTACTCATTGGGTGCAAAATCGCTGGAGGCCGGCTCTCAATATTTGCTGAAAGGGCATTCCTACTAGGAGCAAGGACGCTCTAGTAGCTCTTGGCATCGCTACTAGGAGCAAGAAGCTACTAGTTACATGCTGAAATTGGTACGTTGAAAGTGCAGCTGCAGCACTCACTCCTAGAAAGATGGGCTGGCCCATTTCCTCAGTGATCGGCGACGATGCGACAAAAGCCCTTATCAACACGTGCAAAAAACTTGCCAATAACTTTCGAAAATAACAGAGAGGATTGAAAAGGCGACCCACTCCGGATGGAAATCGAGCATCTCTCACAGCCAGCTCCGCCCTCTTTTTCTTGGACAACAGTGGATCTTGAAGACTGAAGTTGTGAGCCATGTGCATGCCTTACACAAACATTGCAAACAAACATCGAAGCATTTGACCGGCAAAAAAATGTGCGCAATGTACACTGTGGAAGAAATATGATGTCAGCAGAGCAACTCGGGTATGGGCAAGGAGTGTTTTTTGAGGTATCAGCCTCCTACCCATCCTGCGTGGTTGACTGATGGGACAACCATCAGACTGATGTAGCAAATTCTCGAAAAACTCTTGCGATGACACACTCACACACATCCAGGTTGCTGTAGTCAACCACTAATCCAACCGCCATGACCAAGTTGATCATTGAGATGGAGTTCAAGTCTAAATCCCACAAGACAATGTTCCCCATTAAGTCCATAAATACCAAAGCAAGGCAAATGATGACCACCAAGACAGAGAGTGGATGTGCAAGTATCACAGCACTGATCAGCGTCACTGCTGCTAAGCACAGCCCAATGCTGCTTGTCATCTGCGACAGAATGATCCTTCGAAAAAGGTATTTGCTGCCAGCAATGCAAGAATGAATGTGTCCAGAACAATTTGACATGTACTGCATTGCTTAGGGTTAATGGGTGCAAGGTGTCCTGTACTGGTCAAAGAAGATGTAAGCTTGTGCATTCATGAAGCTTCCAGGAAGTGCTGCTTGCCACCTCGCTGTAAGGGCCTCCGCCTCTTCCAAAGAGTCAATCTGTGGGCCACTGCTAGTGGTATCCACGTGCACTACCCCAAGTCGCATCACCTGCAGTGGGATCATGTCGCACTTACTGGAACTTTTGGATAAGTTTTGGGCAAAAACTTGTCCCGTTGGTCCAAAAAATGATCGGCGCCTGGATCTCATTGTTCGCAATGACCACCTCGTTTGTAAATCGAGAGCCCCATGGAGTTTCCAGGAACTCCAATAAAGCGGGCACGAATGTGGGCCCGGTTAAGAAGTGGCTAGCCTGAGATGTGAAAAGGCGTTCAAATCGCAGATTCTTCATGCAATCCTCTGTGCCAAAGATCTTCCAAGGTACGCAAGTGGTCACACCACTTGGTAAGCCAGCACTGCATCCCTCCCGGTCGCTCTCAACCGAGACAAATGCATCAGACGGCAGGTTGCCATTCGCGCCTGGCCCGAGCTTTGGTGATACAAAATCAGCACAAACAACGTCAGTTCTCCCAATCGACAGTTGCAGTCAGCACAAGTCTTCCTGCCTCGATTTTGATTGGCCCAAAGCGTGAAGGCTGTGTGCCAGCTGTACAAACCTCTCTCTGCGTTGATACTCTTCATCGCCAACATCTCTGCGCCAACCTCAGCGTGGCTACCAGATGCGCCGACCAAAGTTCACCCCAGTGACCCCGGAAGTGGGCAAAACGTCCGTTGGGGTCACCCAGCAAACCTCACCCCGCAAACGTTCGTTGCCGTCCAAAAGGCCTGCTCGATGTGCCGCTGCACCTCCACCGAGCTGAAATTCATGCTTTTCACGTAGTAATGAGCCGGCAAAGCCAGGCCACCTTGCGAAAGACCACCAAAGTGCTCGTTCTCCTGGTGGCCGAGAGTGGCCAGTCTAAAACCAACGTGTACAGACTTCGACTTGGTCTGCACATTCCGAAGCGTTCAACAAAAGGTTCCTTCACTTTCCATCACTTGTCTTGGGGGATCACGGAGGGTCGACTATTCGATCCCTGATCCTTGTTGTAGAAGTCTCGCAAGTAGCTGTTGTCCGGCGAAAGATCCATGATATCAAAATCGGTTCCTCACAGGGCAAGAGCTGAGGCCAAGCTGAAGCCTAGAGCCTAGTGCCAAGCTGAAAGCACATGAAAGCACAGCTCCAAGCTGGAATCCCAGGCCTAATCCCAAGCTGACCTGCCATGCGGACACTCCAGCCAGTGCTAAGAAGATGACGAGT